TAGTTGTGCTCTGCTCTCTCAGTGAACGGATAACGGTGATCGACTCCTTTAGTTCTGCGCAGACCACCATCTGTTCCTACGCAGTACCAAATTCCGGCAGTTATCGACGGACGGCGTGGCGATCCAGTTCAGCTGGTACGCTAACTCAAATCGACCATAGAGCAGTGAGCTGCTGTTGGCATCGTTCAGTGCAAAACTGAAGCTTCTATTGGACCACCTGCGTTGAGTCTAATTACGCATTAGTTGTGATGCAGTTCACTCGACTGAGTGGCCGGTGACAAAACCAACAAACTCGAATAGCTTATCATCGACTTTGTGCCAGCAGTTGGTGCACACTGAGTCAGAGCTAGTGCATGAGCTAAGCGCGCCTCAACGTGATGATGTAGATGAGCCGTGGGATCAGAATAGGCGAGCAATGCATTCCGCAGCTTGTGGGTCTGAGTTTCAGTTTTTCATTTTGAACAACCATTAACCATGCATTTTCCTGTGCCGGTTTTGGTTGCTATCTTTTGGCTTCCCATGTGGATTAAAAGTAGCAGGAGGACAAAAAAAGTTGAAAGTAGAGTCGAACAGAAAATGGGGAATTCCATTGGACTAATGTTGCAAAGAAATTAAGATGCATGAATGTCATTGTTTACGACACTCAGCCATATCCCTGTCTCTAGCCATCGGTTACGATCATCCCGAGGTCCCCAACCAGGGAGCCTAACAGGAAATGTGACCCAGACTCCTGGTTGGGGTTTTCATACCCTCGTGCCAGGTCTAAGCTTGACTATCCTTCGTTTTATTCCATCCACTACCTGCCTGGATGAACATCGCTCGTCGTGGCAACCTATTTGGTGATATGCGTAACACATACCCCAACCAACGTAATTTATGGAAGTCGACCGCTTGCTCGTGGTCACCTAAAACTCTGCGCCTAACCTCAGCATTTTTCGTCCCGCTGCCCCACCAGATTCGTGCAATGCTGCGTAGATAACGGTTTTTGAACACTGACAGTCTATCTTAATACCGTTTTCTTAATGGTCAAGTTTTTTTGCGCCGTATAGCGCAACTGGCCGAACTGTCGCGGCATACACTAGACCCTTAACAGATAGCCGGATGTCGCGACGGCGCCACAGATGTCTCAAGTTAGCAAATGCCAACCGAACCTTCTGTATGCGAGCTGACACTTCATCCGTGATGGGTCCACCGGTGAGATGTAGCTGTCCAAATAACAAAACCTATCCACTTGCTTTCTCTGTTAGAATGACCCTGGGTGCTGAACCACCCGTTTTTGAGCAACATTTTAGAATTTGAAGGTGCAAAACGCATACCGAGCATTGCTACGCTGGCAAGCTGGCCTTGCTGGTAAAACGCTGAGTGACATCTGATGGATCTGGGATTGAGAACTAGACAGATGAAGAAGAACTTATCTCCAAATGGGTGCCTAAGACGTTAGGACACGACATACTTCGCGGCAGCCACATCAACGAGGGGGTTTCTCTTTGGGAACCCTAACCGGAGCCTTTGACTCAAGTCTGACCCACAAGGCAGTACGGCGTAGATCCAACGCGGGAACGTGAAAAAAGCACCCGTGTGGGAGCTTCTGGAGACCTACCACGCAAGGTCTTCAGGTTTCGGTTCAGTGTTTTGCTCGCTTTTTGGGATCAGTCCTTAGCCTCATGCACCCAATGAGACAAGCGGAACGTGGACGGGACAGAACCTTATTGGCTGGGGGCTGCCCAGTTTGGGCGGGCGATAGCTGTCCAATGAAGTGCGAAGACTTCTTCCACCGTCGAGAGGAAGCCCCAGGTACCCCGCTCCTACGTCCATCTAGTGGGGGTTTTCGACCGGGAAACTGCCCTTCACTGTGTTTATTTGGTGGAGTGGCCTCTCCAGGGGCCGGTGTGGATAGAGGAAGGAAGCCAGGAGGTGCCCAAGCAGCTGGCTTTGTGCGGTTGAGCTTTGTCTGGTCTCTACCCATTGACCTCTGAGGCATGATTGGATTTACGGCTGTGAGAAGCCATCCTGTGTAGCTCGCAGGGTCACTGAGGCGCGCAAGCCATCACACCACGTCAAGATGCAGTCTCGTCGTGATGGTTCTGAGTTTGAGGCTCAAACCTATTGAAGACGTTGGAAATATCATGAGTCAGTAGCCCTGCTGAATAAAAAACGACAAATCCCCACACGACACGATCAAAACAGAGTTAGGTGGCAGCTAAAAGCTCAGCTCATGAAGAGCCTCGAGAAGGATCGTGAGAACTGGTGGGCAACAATAGCTAGAGAAATGGAATTACCAGCTGCATCAGGGGATAGTCAAAGTCTGTTCCAACTGATACGCAATACGGGAGGTTGATGAACTCCAATTAGTGACAGTCGGTGATAAGAGGCGACAAGCTATTCACAACAGGGATCAATCACTTTATCCCTGGGAGGAATATTCCAGCGAACAGTTCAGGTGACCTGGCGCTAACCAGGTTACTTCATCTGTAACTGAAGCTCCGTGGACAGTATCGCGCGACTCTAAAACAGAAGCAGAAATTCGGTCTTGCATTTAAACTCTGAAGCGAGAAAGGTAGCAGGACCGGATGGGCTCCTTCTCACCCTTTCAGATGGGAGGTTATAACCTCGTAAGCCCCATCACCACCTCACTGCGCAACATTTTGACGCAAAAGCGCATTTCTTCATCTTGGGGCGAATCACGGATCGTTCCCATTTTCAAGAAAGGATCTCGCAACGATTGAGAAAATCGCCGCCGGATAAGTTTGATCCCGATCGTCAGCAAAGTGCCAGCCCCGGTCATACTTCAACGTCTGACTCCTTCAAGAGAGACCAACATCTGTGAACAGCAAGCCGGATTCCGGCCTGGCCGTGGATGTATTGATCAAATTTTTACGTTGCGTCAGATCCTCGAGCTGCGTCACACCCACCGTCGGCCAACGATCGCAGTGGTCCTTGACCTGAAAGAAGCTTCCGACTCAGTTGACCGCGAAGCTCTGATAGGTTCCCTTCTTCGAAAAGGAATGCCCCAGAAGTATGTTAACTTACTGAGGTCACCTTACTTAAATACCTCTGGTCGAGTGAGGGTTTACAACAAACTAAGTAGGCCGTTCGTCACCATCAGCGGCATCTGTCAAGAGTGCTCTGCTTCGCAATTCCTCTTCAATTTCGTCGCACATGAACTACTAGAGAACACAATAAAAGGTCTCCGAAACGTAGATATTCAATGAGCAGCTGGAGAAAAGCTGTACGATTTACGGTACGTCGATGATAGTGCCTGTCTGTTTGACTGTTCGGAGGATGCGCAAAGCGCGCCTGATAGATTAACAAGTGCAGTTGCCACATTCAGTATGTGCTTTGCACCTTCAAAGTGCAAAGTGATGCTGCAGAACTGGGTTTAGCCTACTCCCGCCCTGAAACTAAATGGCTAGGATTTAGTTATGGTGGATTATCTTTCATACTTAGGTAGTTGCGTGACCAATGACGGTAGCGCAGCAAAATAAATAACCGCCCGCATTTCCAAGGCTCGAGCAGCATACGCAGGACAGAAACACCTTTGGTGTAGAAGCGACGTGTATATTGTGCTACCGTTCGTTTAGTTCTGCTTTATTGTCGTAAGACCTTGAATTTGCGGGTAGAAGATATCCGTCGACTAGAGGTTTTCCACTACGCAGTTTAGCCTACGTGGGATGGAGCGAACGGGTTAGTAATCTGCATGCAAGTCGTCGTGTTTAGGAGTCTATCAGGTATAAACCTGCTAGCACGTCGTAGTCAGATTGGTAGACTTCGCTGGTTTTGGGTAGATATTGCGTGTTTTTATTCCACACCTTCGTGTGATGAACAGCAGACGGGGCGAACCCCCATAGTCACGAGGACCTGCTGTTCAGTGATGGTAACCGGTAACCTGATCCCCGGGACTTGGAGTGGTGAACCGCATAGGGCACCGATAGGTCAGGCCTAGATGTCGTCTGCCGCACCGTGCTTTATTCGCTGTAGCCGCTCCGGGACGGAGGAAACCGCGTGAAGGTCAACAGATGATGTGGAAACGACGCATGAAGAAATGCAGAGGTATAGAGTATGTGTCACGCGCCTTCCAAGTTGGGGTCCGAAAGACTCTGCAGCTGGTTGGTTTGGTATGTATGCAAATTTTCACTGTATAACCTGTTGATCATTATGGTTAATGGTTGTCAGAACTGAACAGAACTGTTGATCATAAAGGTTCATCTCCCTCCCTCAAAACAGGTCCAATCCCTGTTTACCTTAAATTTTACCACCAACTTTGTATGAGTTGGGAGTTTGGTAGCGATCAGTGATATTCGCTTCAGCGTTTTGCTGTACGATACGATATAATACGGTGAGATACAATGCGATCATTTTCTACGAACGAATTCAACCTAAGGTTTTTACTACACATAAAAGTTTCTTACCGTGTTCAGCGAAAATTTTCATGTAATGGACCGTGCAGGTGGACCTCTATTTTTTGGCAGCGACGAACCATCAAGCATACCAGAATTAATGGATAAGGACGTTTGCGGTGCACCGGAAACCATTCTCAATGTCAGCACTGACTAAGTACCGTGGATAACCCTCAAAGGGGAGTCGTGTACAATAATTATGCCGTAGAAATCCTACTAGATATCGTACTCCACGCAGCAATCCGTTTATTACTCTTCGCCGAACTACGGATTTTTGTTAACTCCATAACTGAACGATCACTCGTCACGTCGGTTTGGAGAATAGATAAGTCGCGCAATTAGGTAGCAAAGCAGACACCGGCGAAAACCACGGTGGGTACGAGGAACATAAGAGATGGTGAAACCAAACTAGTCAACAGAAGGAGCCGGTTTTAAACGATTAGGGCCACTGCTTGTCATTCCCTAAGTCACCGAACGCCCGGTAAGCCGAGACAGTGCTGAGTAAGCAAAGCATTATAAAACTATCTGCATCTGAATTAATCCCTGCCGATAAAATATGCCATAGCTGAACTGTCTGGTCTCAGAGGCATCCCAAAATAACACCTATAAAATAAACGACCTAAGTCTAGATGATGAAAACATCGTCACATTCAAAGGTAAAACAGTAAAAATAGGACTATTGTACCCACCTGTAATATCGCACACATTCGGAACATGAACGAAATCCCGATAGAATGTATGCAGAAGTTCGGTAGCGTGACCCATATTCCGGAACGGTGGTAATATAACCACTTGGCTTAATCGTGGTCGAAGATTAGCCGGATAGGCGTAGAACTTGTAGACAGTCATATAGCCTATAAAAGCATACTGAGGTTTTGCGGAACCAGCAATATCTAGAATCTCATAGCTGAAAAGTTATAAATGAACTCCTTGAAACTTACAGGACATAATAACACCACTGCGGATCATCCGTGGATATGGAAGATGCGCCATCGAGAAAGAACGGTAAGAATGATTCCATTCGTTTATGGTAATTGATGAAATCATCGAACCCTTCCATACCATGTTCGATGAAATAAACACAATACTTTCGGTGTGTTTTACCTGTGATAATTACCAAATTGATGGCACCTCAACTAACCGGATGCAGAACTGTAAGAATGTCGGGCTACACCGTAAGGCTTGAACTCTTCCGTATGGAAGTGCTCCGCAAAATCCACCAAGTTACGGTCGAATGGATAACAATAAACTTCGGAAAGCAGCTGAAAAATGTCATCAGCCTAAAGCGACATCACAAACTATAAGGCTGCTTACAGTTGCTCCTTGGGCACGGCTTTTATCTATGCGTGATGAATAGGATTGATTGATATACGTTTTTAAAGACCCAGAGAGATACCAAATGTTTATTTTTAGGTTGTTGTAACCAAATATCTGTTCACTAGATCGGGTTACGAGTGATAAAAAACGCCGACCTTTCGCCGAATATCTGATGTGCAAACTCCGGATGGAATTCTTCGCCGTTTTCAAAATCTTCTTTTGATCGAACTGTGAATCGCACATATAAATAAAACGTAATTTTTACTTAGTTTGAAGCTGATTGCTTCACATGCATCAGTCTTATACGTATCCAACAGCTTTAGGGATGTTTCCATTTCGAATTCGAAGGCCCGAGGTATCGTACGAACTGCAGTAGACGCACACAATGTCGGTTCAGTTCAGTTCAGGTCAGATCAGGTCAGGTTGCACAGTTCAGTTCAGTTCTCACAGGACGAATTATGGCTTTTGCCAATCTATTGTCCAGATTTGTGTGCTGTCGGCGAGTTTCCTTGGCTTCCAAAACTTCGATATGCAA